ATGATCTGCCAGATCATAAATATTATTATATTGTAAAAATTGCAATAGTTTGTATTTAATAAATGAGGAGATGGAGTTGTTAGGTAGTACATTAAAGTTACCTAGTATTATGAGTAGAATGTTTCGATTAGTAGCTTCTTGGTTCTATTGAATAATGATATTTTGAATTTGAATTCTTAATTGTGAGTTTTCACATAGTAGATATATAGAAATAATTCAAAATTTGTGATCATGTTTAAAGAAAAGATCTATAACTATAGCATAGCCAGAAAGAATGAAAATATTGTGTATATAAGTTGTAAGGTGTTTGTGAATCATTAGTGTAGTTCCTACTTTGAAACTATTAGTACATGACCAATAATAGGAATAGTATTTTGAGTTATGAAATTTGGTGATAGCATTATCTTTTGCTATTTTAGTTTCTGTAATACTGATAATGTTTAAGGAATAAGTGATACAGTAATCCTCTCAGACTTGCTGTTTGAGATTTTTATTGTATCCTTAGACATTGTGAGTGCAGATTGTGAGATTTAGAGATGAGGTATTAGGGTTTTTGGGTGTGTTAAATTGCTAGAAGTAGAAGCTAAAGGTGCTAGTATAAAGAAGACTAGTGTTGATGTATTTGATTTTAGCTGAATATTCAGATAATGCCAAATAGCTTAAATTGGTGAAATAAAGTGATTAGGTAATGGTTTAGCTTCTGATGAAAGATAAACATAAGCTTCCTATAATCATTTTTAATAGAGATTGTTAATATATAGCCACAAGCATTATTAGGTAAATAGCCAAAGCTATAGATATGTTGTAAAAAAGAAATAATAGTTTGTAGATGAGAAAGCAGTAATAGATAGTTGTAGAATAGAAATTTGTTGTAGCAAGTATTAAGTTGGAAGTTGTCATAGTGTTGTTTAGCTATGTCAGTTTTATCATGACCTTCTAAAATGACTTCTACTAGTTGAAAGTAAGAGTAGTTTATGTTATTTTCCTTTATAATTAAATTTGTATTTGGTATATTGTTGTTTGTTAGAGAAAATTTAGAAGAAATGGATATAGATGAATAATTAGTATAGCCTGATAGTTGTGGAAAAAAATATTTGAATAAAGGTTGAGATTTGTGTAGTAAGTGTATATAGCATTTACTATAATCAATTTTAATAGATATTGTAAATGCATAGTTGAAATTGTTTAATTGTATATAGTTGTAATAATAAATGTGTTTTAAAAAGGAGCTAAGTGTTTGGGAATGTAGAAGTAGAGGTATGTTAAACACTGCTAACCACAAGTTATAGCATGAGACTGGATCATGTAGTGTATTGTAAGATAAGTCTTGTAGTTCTTCCTTGATATGAGATGATGAAATGGAATTCAAGAAAGTAGAAAGTTCTTTTGTGGATTCACTTACTGTATGCTTGGCTTGCACAGCTATGCAGATACCATAGCCTGTTTTGTACATTGGGTCTGGTCATCATTAACCTGGTCCTCCATGTAAATGAACTTAACCACCTGTTCACTTACATCATTCTCTTCTAAGAATAGTCTACTAGCTGTAGAGGATATCATTATCCTAGAAGCAGTGGCTGCATTTATGTATTCTACAGAAGATTTTATTGAAAAGTATTGTGTAAAAGTGTTGTAATATAATCAGGTTGTAAGTCCTGTTTATTGTTTTGGTTTATGTTACTAATGTTTGAGTTAGACATTAAGATGTCATTATTTAGAATTGCAGATAAATTAATATTATTATTGGGTGTTAAAGTTTTGGATTTGTCAGAAGTATTTAAATTAGAAGAAATAGATTTGGTTTTGGGTAGATTAAATTTGATATTAAATTTAGAATGTAGGATTTGTTGAGCTTCTGCATAGAATCTTTTATTATAAGATTCTCTAATTAAAGAAATAGAAAGATTGTTATTTTTGAGAATATAGAAATATGTAAGTATTCTAGCTAAGTACTCAGTATTAATAGGTTTACTAATAATTTTATCAATAATTTGGTATGGATGGTGGTTGTTGATTTGATCATTTGTAGCAGCAACACTAAAATAAGCTTTGAAAAAGTTATAAAAATAGTAGCTTTCATATGCTTGGTTGGTTTCAGTTTTATTAAGTTTAATAAATTCTTTTTCAGTTTTAGTAGCAAGTTAACAGAGAAAGGTAATAGGTATGGGTTTGTTAAAAGTAGCAGTATTGAGTTGGTCTTTATTAAATATAAAGAAATCAAGAATAGAGTATGTTTATTTTGGTTTGGATTGAGTGTTAGTTGGCACTGAAAAGTGATCATATAAGTCAATAAAAAAAAGAGAAGATAAGTTTTTAACATTGTATTCTGTATTGTTAGGTAATGTTGTGCAGTTTTTAACTATACAAATGTGAATATAATATAGAGCAGCATTAAAGCATAGTCTAGAATGCTCTTGTAAGGAGTTTATAAAAGTAATTTTGAGCATTTATTAGAAAGTTTAAGAGCAATTTGGTATTTAATATAGTTAAATGTTTTTTCTTAATTAATGTTATAGAATTGACATTTATAAATATTAAAGAATTTTTCAAACTATATTTTAAATTCAGATAAGTGATTTTTTAAAGATGAGATTTGAAAAGTTTGGAGAAATTGTTTTTTAGAAATATTAAGAGATATATTAATAAGAATTTGTCATCATTTTGAATTTTGAAAAGTGGTTAGTTAATATTATCTTCACTAATAAAGTATTTAAGTCTAAAGTAGATAGAGTAGAGTTTAAGATCTTCATAGAATTTTTCAGCATGAATGGTTTTATATTTGTCATGAAAAATAAGATGTAGACAGGCTAAATTAAGTGCTACTTGTTTTTGGTTTGTAGTAGTATATAGAGAAATAGAGTCATAGGAAGCAAAAATTCTTGAATAGTTTAGTTGGATAAATAAAGTTGTAGTGAATTCTTGCAAAAGTGAAGTAAAGATAGAATAAATTAATTCGAATAGAATTGAAATTGATTTATTAATTGAAGAATTTGTTTTATAAATAAGATCAGTTAGAAATTTAGATCTTTTGTCAGCTAGAGTTTTAACCAGATATTTGTAATTAAGTTTGAATTCAGGAGCATTTTCTGAAGCTGCTTGAGTGATTTTTTTTGAATAAATGTCAATAAGATATGGTTTAATAAAATTAAATTGTTGTTATGTAATAGAATTATTTAGTTTAGTGTTATTTTTCATAAACTCAGTTACAGAATATTTTTTAAACCAATCAAGGTCATTAGTAGTATCTTGTTGATTTTTTTTGGTTTTTGTTTTTGTTATGAATTGAGTTTTTTGTTTTTCTTTAATAAAAAGGATTTAAGAAGTTAGATTTTTTCAGTAGATTTTATTTGTTGAATTTTGACAAGACCAAGAATTAGTTTTTATTTAAGAGTTAAAGGAGGAATAATTTGTTTTTTGGAAGTAGAAGAAGAAGTTTGAGTATTTAAACTAATTAGTTTAGACTTAATTAAAGCTATAACTATTTGCTGTTGAAATGTAAAAAGAGATGTTTGAACCAAAGGTTTAAGTTTAATATCTAATAATGAAGAACACAGAGTCTGTGGATTAGATTTTGTTTAAAGATCATACAGATTATGTAGTCAAAAACATAACTACATTGTTCTGTTGCTATACAAAGAATATTTTTAGATTTATATAAGAGACATGTGTGATAGTATTGAGAATGTGCAACAATTGCAGAAGGTGTATGATCTATTTGGAAGTTAAGAAATAGAATATAAGATTTAGAAGAAGATGAATCAGATTGTTGTTGTTTAGGAGTAGATGATTAAGATAATTTATTGCTATTTTTTTGAAACAACTAATAGAAATAATAAAAGTAGTTTGGATTGTAAGTTGCCCAAGAGAAGTAGAATAAGAGATCCTGTAGAACCAAGAGGTAAAGCTAGTATGATATGTTTTACAAAGACATGTAATAATAATGAATTGTTGAGAAACTTTAAAATAATGATATTTTTTTGTTGTATCACAAGTAATTGGATTAATGTCTGCTAGAAGTATACGTAAAGATTAAGGTTTTCTTTCTATCATTCCTACATTATACCAATCTTTATATCTGCCATGGTAGTAGTTAATGTCATAAGAGTCAGGATTTTCAGAGATTAAAGTAGACATAGTTTAGAGTTTAAAAGATAAAAATAGAGACAATAAATGAAATCTTGGATGTAAAAGGATCTGAAAAATATAGAATATAACAAATAAAAGAATATGACAAATAAGAAAATATGATAAATAAGGGGTATAATGAGTAAAAGGATGTGACAAATAAGAGGATATGATAAATAAGTGGCACAGGATGTGCAGACTAAGTGGTTACAATAATCGATGTTAAACAGATTTTTGTATTAGTTAATCGAACCAAAAATAGAAAAAATTAAAATTTGTGTTAAATTAATTAGTAATATAGCTTTTGGTAGTGATCCTGCAGGTACTAGGCATCCTAAAATACAAAACCTCTCCAAAAAAAAGAAAAAAGTTTTTGCAAAAAAAGAACAGAAGTTTTGTAAAGGAGTTTTAAAGGTTTTTTGTATAAAACATTTAATATTAGTCCAATATTAATGTATAATATATCAAAATGAAGCTCTAAGTGAGCTCTATCTTTTTATTTAAGATAATAACTAAGGTTAGCTTAATAGATTATTAAAAATTTTAAAAAAAGTATTTTGCAGTTTAATAAATATATCTCACTATACAGAGGTCTGAAAGATATAAAACTAGATTGCTTATAAGTAAAATTTAGTTGTAAACAACTTTATTTAGGAGGCCAGAGAAGGTTTACTTAATAAATTATTTAGTTATTACCAGTTTATTATTAGAGAATTTTGGTACAAGTGATCATCGGAAAGAGTTAATGATTTGTGTCAAAAGCTTTATCTGATAAATTATAAAAATTGTAGATTTGATAATAAAGTATAGTTGAGTTTAGTATAGTTAAAATAAGTTTAGCTTTGTGTTTTATAAGTTGTATATAAGAATTAATTATGTCTTGCATTGCAGATTGGTGCATAAATATGTTTAGAATCCTGTATGAAAAGTAAGGTACAAGTACTATGTTGATTATATAGTTTGTTTTTTAGTAATCTTTTTGTTTTTATAGTATTACTAAAATTGGTAGCTTCAATAATAATTTGATTTTGAATATGCTTGTGGTGGTTCATAAGTATAAATCAGCAACTAAAATAGCAGAAAGTATGCTTTAGAGATATGATATATATAATTGTATTAGCAAAGTTGATTATAGTATTTGGATCTTTAGTTTGGTTTATTACTAAAATTAATTTGATAGGATTAACAGTAATATTGACTATATTGTAAAAGAATTTAGCTGATTTTACTATTTATTAAAGAGTTTATTTGTCAGAAGCTAGTTATAAAATATTATCATATAGATAAGTACTAAGATATAGTATGTAAATAGATGTTTAGTTTGAGATAATATTGTTAATATACTATAGCTATAAAATTTGGAATAGATATAAGTTATTAGTGGAACATAATACATATACTAGACTAAAAATATAATTTTTTCTTCTTGGTCTATATCATCTTGTACATGATAGCTAAATATGAAACTAAGATTTATAATAACTGAATTATATTGATTGTTGTGAATATTGACTATAAGTTGTGAAATGTTTTGAAAGATTTTTATTTGATTTAATACATGTTAAAGAAGTAGAATATATACAGATTTATATATCTTACTTATGTTCTAAGCAAAAAGCCAAATTTCTTTGTTTTGTGTTTGTGTTTCTTGAAATATATTTGTAAGAATTTGAATAGGTTATATAGTAGTTAAGTATAATAGAGCAACAAAATTATGTACATTAAGAATAGGATATTTAAACATTATTTTAGTAAGTCTATTAGTAATAATTTTGGTAAAGATTTTTCATATATATTCAAGAAAAGTTATAGGTTTAATATAATTGAATTGATCTATGAAAAAAGTTTTTTTGAAATTATTAATTACTTATTTTTATTAATCTTTTTTTACTTGAATCTATCTAAAAATAATTTTATCATTTTTGTTACTTTAAAAACCCTCTTTTACTTTAGTAATAAATCAATTAAGTTATAGACAAAATATATATTACTTTTATAATATACTTTATTTAGACTATTAATAATTTTTTAATTGCTACTATGAATCTGTTTACTTCTTTAATATAAAACTATATAACTAACTTATTATTAATTCATTATTTATTAAATAACATGTTTAATTTTATTTTATAATTGAACTGTATTTTAATCTATTAACTATATTCTTTTTAATAACTTTTAACAATAATATTATTAATAAAAAAACCTTTTCAAACTTTCTCTTAACTATCTAATAACAAAGTCTGTAATTTTATAAGCATTGGTTACAAGATGCTTAAACATATCAGTTTTTAATACATCTTTAATAATAATATTTTTTTTAATTATTGTCTTCTTAAAAATAGAATTTCTAAACATTAAAATTATAATAAAATTTATTTTATTTAAATAAAATATCTTTAGACTATTATATTTTTCTTTTAATATCTAAGCTATTTACTTGAGTTATCAAATTTCTTTTATTTAGCAAGTAATTTTTTTTAATTTAAAATAACAATCTTGTTTGCATGTTTTTATTTAGTAATATATAATTATATTTTTTTATATACCATAGTCTATCAACAAAAGTACAATTAGCAATACATATAACTTTAGTCATTATCTAGTTAAGAGTTCTGCTCATAGGTTATCTACTAGATGTCATACCTGAGGTCTGCCTCTGAGTTTCTTATTTAAAATTTCTAATTTTTAATACTATTTGCATATATGCAATATTTATATTACCATTAAATAATATATTTAATTAGAGTTATCTAATTACTATTTATATTAAAATACTATCTCATTGGGTGTTATTAAGTATTCATAGTCTTTTGAATTTATTCTTGAAGCAAATTTACTAAATATAGTACCAAAATTACTTCTTAGATTTTTTTCAACTTTAATGTATTTTATATTCACTAAACTAGTATTAGTGTTAGAGGTATTCAATTTTTAGTATATTTTTTTTCTATAACATTCTTTTATATTTACTATATCATTTGCTTGTGCGCCTTCTCTTCATTTTTGGTATATTTGCTGCTTTTCTCACATCAAGCATCAACTTTCCATATTGGAAAGCTTTTTTTTGAAAACTTTCTTATAACTGATTTTTTATTTATATAAGGCTTTATATACATTTATATGCTTTCATAGATTACAAAGTTTTGCCTTTAGCTAGAATTGAACCATTAATCTTATCTGTAGAAAGAAGTACCTAGATCACTAATTTACAGATTCCAATCCTCTAACAAGTATTTTTTTTCTTTTTATTTCTAATTTCAATAGTAAAGGATGAGTTTTAACAAAAAAGTTATACTTATATCAAATTAGTAGTAAAACCAAAAAAAAGAACTAGTTTTTATTTATATTTTACTTAAATAGGCATTTTTTCTGATTTCATACTTATCATTATTTACTTATCAAATTATACTTTTTTAATTAATAATTTTATTCTTACTATTATTTAATCAATCAATTCAATTATACATTCTTAATAACAATTACTAATTGAATACTAATATTATAAATAAGTATCATGATTTTATAATAACAAATTGTCTTGTGATTTGTTATTTGTCACCCAATCACTACTAACAATTAAAAACATTATACATTATAAAATACATAATATGGAATTATCAAGAAAATCAATTTGCATTTGTCTTCCTCTTCAGATATTTTGTATTATATACATACAATTTCATGAATTCATTACTTTACTCAATTTTTAAAATTCCATTTTAAATAATGCTTTATCTTTAGCTGTTTTTACTGATCTTAAATATAGCATTACAGTTTTCAAATCATCTTCCAATAGTTCTTATTTGAGTTATTAATATTTTTCCTTTAATATCTATTGTTGTCTCTAGCATATATGCATATATGTCTATATGGTATATATTGTAGATCCTAATTTGGACAAATCGACCCAAGCCATCTTAGCATCGATTTTCCCTTACACAACGTACAAAACTTGAGCAAAATTTCGATATCAAATTATTTGAATAAATTGATATTTCATGTCACGTAAGCACTAACTGCTGTGTTTTAGGTTCTCTTCCAGTGCAAAATCTAAATAGAATAAAGTTTGAGATTGGTATTATTTTCATACATTAAAACCGGTTTCAAACCCTTGAATAGATTCGCAATTTAGTGAAGGTACGTTTGTAGTATTTGTGTGTCAAGTTTTTGCTTGTTGCGGAGTTGAGCTCTAAACATGTAGTCATTCTAGCCTACTTATATATCTATGATTCAAATATGCTAATTGTCAGTCTTAATATTCAACTCTTTCAACTCGCTATCTGTTATTATATTCAACTCTTTCAATTTGCTATCTGTTAATTATAATTAATATTAAAAAAATCCGAATAAAATTGTTTATAAAAAAATCAAAAAATAAAAATAGGTACCTTGATAAAGTAAAGTAGTATATTTAATAAATCTGCTTTTATAAAAGTCAACAGGGTAAGATTGTATGTGTGTACTTTTAATATTTTCCAATATATTATCTGAATTAGTTAATTCAATTAAAATATTAATTAAAATATTTTCATTATTCTGCCATTCTGTAAGGATTTCACAAATTTTTATCGCTGATGGACGGTTTAGAGGTTCTTTTTCCCAACATTTCTTCATCAGGTTTATATAACATCGTGGAATGTCATTGATAATAGTTGGTCTTAAATCATTATAACATATTTCTAATTGAAGTTGTGATCCAAAATTTCGATTATAAGATACAGTTTTTCCATATAAGACTTCCCACATGATAATTCCAAATGAGTAAATGTCTGATGCCGTTGTATATTGTCCTCTGTCTAAAGACTCTGGTGCTATATATGGTAAAATTCCATAAATTTCGTGCCTTTCTGTAATTTGTGCTATATTTGTTGATATTGAGAGTCCCAAGTCTGCAATATAGGCGGTGCGTAAATTATCTTGCAAAATATTTCCGCTGTGTAAATCTCGATGAATAAGGTTTTGCGAATGAATTATTTGAAGATCATAAGCAATATGATGTAATAGAACCAATATCTCTTTCCATTTCATTGTTGTTACAGAATGGAGATTTTCACGCAAAGAACCCATTTCTGCATATTTCAAAACAAGAATATAATCTTCGGAAGTATCATCTTTTGATATTCCGTAGCATTTTAAAAATGAAGGATGTTTAGAACTAATATCGCAGTATGCTTTTAACTTTAACAGTAAAACAAATAATTTATATATAAATATATAAATTGTAAAGAAAATAATAAATATAAACCATAAAATATATATATCACCTCTTTTATAAATGTTTCATTATATGATTTCGATCCATGAAGTAATTTAAGTGCAACGTTTCTCCACATGTATTGTTTTTTATCCAGCCATCTTGCATAAAATACTGTTGCAAATCCACCTTGTCCTATTTTTTTAATATTCATAAATTCTTTATACGAAATCCATGATAATGGATATTCTTCTTCAACTAGTAGCTTTTTTATATAACTATCAATATTAGAATTTTCATTTTTCCATTCATTTGTGGCTACAAAATATTAATTAGTAATTCACAAATACCTCAAAAAGAATTTCAAGCTATAATATTTATGTAATTACCTAAAATTTTTTCTTTTTCCCTGATTATTATCAGAAAATGTATATTATAAAATTACAATTTTGTGAACATATATATCTATGTAGAGTTTAAACAAAGACTACTTACATTTGATACCAGTAGTTAGCTCTCTGCAAATCCCTTTGTATCCCAATCCCATTTCGATAACAATATCCAACTTCGCACATCCCTCTAGAATCTCCCATTTCTGCTAATTTTCGATAATAAATAAATGCTTTACGTTCATCCGTTCCAACTCCAATTCCATTTCGATAACAGTTTGCAACTTCAAACATTCCATTAGAATTACTCATCTCTGCAGATTTTAGATAATAATTGAATGCCTTATGTTCATCCTTTTTAACTCCAGTTCCACTTCGATAACAATATCCAACAGCATATATTCCATCAATGTCCCCCATTTCTGCAGACTTTTTGTAATAAATGAATGCTTTATATTCATCCTTTTCAATTCCAATTCCATCTTCATAGAAATATCCAACATTATAGGTCCCACCAGCATTACCCATATCTGCAGATTTTTGATAGTAAATAAATGCCTTATGTCCATCTTTTTCAACTCCAATTCCATAATGATAACATAGTCCAACATTATATGCACCACGAGCATGCCCCATTTCTGCAGATTTTTTATAATAAATGAATGCCTTACGTTCATCCTTTTCAACTCCAATTCCATACTTATAACGATATCCTACACTAAATGTTCCGTTAGCATACCCCATATCTGCAGATTTTTGATAATAAATAAATGCCTTTTGCTCATCCTTTTCAACTCCAATTCCATCTCTATAACAACATCCAACATTATATGTTCCACTTGCATGACCCATCTCAGCAGATTTTTGATAATATATAAATGCTTTGTATTCATCATTTTCAACTCCGATTCCATTTCTATAACAATATCCAACAATACACATTCCATTTGCGTTCCCCATCTCTGCAGATTTTTGATAATAAATGAATGCCTTATATTCGTCCTTTTCAACTCCAATTCCATTTCTATAACAATTTCCGACATTAAATGTTCCGTTAGCACACCCCATCTCAGCAGATGTTTGATAATAAATGAATGCCTTGCGTTCATCCTTTTCAACTCCAATTCCATCTCTATAACAATATCCAACATTATATGTTCCACTGGTATGTCCCATCTCAGCAGATTTTTGATAATAAAAGAAAGACTTATGTTCATCTTTTATAACGCCAGTTCCATGAAGATAACAGTTGCCAAGTGCAAATATTCCATTAGAATTACTCATATCTGCAGATTTTTGATAATAAACAAATGCCTTCTGTTCATCCTTTTCAACTCCAATTCCATTTTCATAACAATATCCAACATTACATATTCCATCGGCGTGTCCCATCTCTGCAGATTTTTGATAATAAATGAATGCTTTATGTTTATCTTTTTCAACACCAATTCCATTTTCATAACAATATCCAATATTACATGTTCCGTGAACATTACCCATCGCTGCAGATTTTTGATGATAAATGAATGCCTTATGTTCATCTTTTTCAACTCCAATTCCATCTCGGTAACAGTTGCCAAGTGCAAATTTTCCATTATGATTACCCATCTCTGCAGATTTTTGATAATAAATGAATGCTTTATGTTCATCTTTTTCAACTCCAATTCCATTTTCATAACAATATCCAACATTACATATTCCATCAGTATATTCCATATCTGCAGATTTTTGATAATAAATAAATGCCTTATGGTCATCCTTTTCAATTCCAATTCCATTTAGATAACAATATCCAACTTTACATGCTCCATCAGCGTTACCCATATCTGCAGATTTTTGATAATAAATAAATGCCTTATGTTCATCTTTTTCAACACCAATTCCATAAAGATAACAATTTCCAATAATATTGTTGCCATATACAAATATTCCATTAACATAACCCATCTCTGTCGATTTTTGACAAGAAATGAATATTTTATGTTTTTAAATATATGAAAAAAGAACAAATATTCAGAACCGTATTCTCAACATGCAGCTAATTAATTTTGCATCACTATCCGAGTTATACAATATTTTAACTATACGTGATGTATAAACTATTGTAACACTTTTAAAAAATATCTTGCCATTGATCGTTAATATGAAGTTTCCAGAAATTTTTTGACAATTTAAATAGTTCTGTAGTACTTTCGAATGAAAATTTTGATACACCATCAACTATTTCTAGCATATACGTTCTTTTTTTTTACTTGAAGGTCGGAATTACTGATTTATATTATCAATATTTTTTTGTCATCCAAAATAACTGCATTATAATTTAAGTTTTATCAAGGTAAATTAAATTTTGTTTTTGATGAATCTATTGTAAATAAAATTAAGAAATTCTGATAAATTTGTCATTATTGCTAATGCAATGATATTTGGAATTTATAAAAATATTTCATTTTACTATACTACATAACTTTATTCTATTATTTGTGATTTGAAGCAGGGTTATCAAATAACGCAACAATCTTTTTCCGATTTTTATGCTAGTGAAATTTAACATAATAAATAAATAGCTTTTTGCTTATAATGTTAAGATCAGAACGAAAATTCGAAATTAAAAATTTAGGTGTAACATTTATGATTGCCTATTTTGGATTATGAAACAGGCAATAACCAATAGACACCAATCGAAACAGCCGAATGTGCACTATTCTTTTAAACTATTAAAATACTATGTTAAGGTTTGAATCCTTATTGCAGCAAGATTTAATTTATATCAAAATTTTGCAAGATATACCTGATCTAAAAATAGCTTCATATTTGTGGGGTGTAGACAAAAAATTATTTTAAAGTTCATTGAGTGTTTATATTAAGGTTAAGTGTTAACCATAGAGATCGTATTCAGTAGAAGTTTTCTTACGGGTACAATTTCTAGTTATCTTACATAGTAAAATCGGTCATTAAAACTTTTTATTATCTATGCAATATTTGAAAAATGACAAACCGGATATGTTACATTACACCTGATTTTGAAACCTGATTTTGAAACTTGATTCGTAGTTTAGGAAATTTGCGTTATAAACCTTGTACACATTTTGATGTGTTTAAAATATTATTGGTGTTGATTACTCTAAGAGATTTGATTTGTGTATCTTACCGGGTAGCTTCGCAAAATCATTAATAATAACTATTAGTTTTGATATGATATTTTTGCAGAGTCGAGAGTATATTATTCTGAATGATGAAATGTGCGCCAAGTTTGAGCGTGGATTTGCAATTACAAAAATTCACCAAAAGTCATTGTATTGTTATTGTTTATATAGTTATTATTGTTTTGGAGAGCATAAGCACAAGTTAACTCCTTATATGTTCTTTGTATTAGACATAATCAGTTATAGTAATATCTTGTACACGTGAGATTACCAATGATTTATTTAATCGTAAATGTAATACGATCGTTAAGAATATTAACAGGTAACAGAATAATAACAAATACAACACTTAAACTATATATGTTCTGAGTCATTTCACGACTTAGGTCGATTCCGAATTGACCTAGGTCATTTATAAATTTTCACCGATTCGAAATGACCCAGGTCAATTTTTAATGAAATTTAAGGATCAGGGTGTGACTAATTATTGAGTGACAAATATGTATCAACTACTTTATTATATATAAATAAATTAGTTAGTGCTTATTTGTCATGCAATTATTAGTCACACCCACGGCGGTGCAACACCGGCTTTACTTATTTGTGCCGGTAATACAAACTCTTAAAAAGAAAATAGCCAATCAGTGAATTCAAATTTTGATCGTTCCGGATCAGCCCGACATAAATTCCGAACACGTGTAAAAGAAGAAAAGGCGAAAAAACTCAAAAACTAGTGTTTAAACCAGCCTTGGTGTACTAATTAAAAATGTCGGAAACGAAATTTTACGTATAATGAATAATAATTTATCGCTATAGCCTCTAATGTTAACGTTCCAACCCTAAATTCGTGTTTTATGCACTTTATTTATAAAATCAAATTTCCTTTTTTGGATTGTATTACCGGCACAAATAAGTAAATCCGTGCAACACCGCGTAAGGTGTGACCAATCACTATGTGACAAATAAGCACCAACTAATTTATTTATATAAATAAATTAGTCAGTGTTTATTTGTCACACACATGAATCATCACTTGATCCCAAAACTTAATAGAAATTTAGAACCCAGAATTATTACGTATGTCAAATTAATTAATAAATAAATTAACTTTCCGAATGTTTAGCTTTATCGATAACTACTACATTTTTTCTTATTAATGTGTGAAACCTTTGATCGAATATTAAAAGCTTTTATTCATCAAAGGATCAAAATAAATAAAATTAATATTTAACTGCAATTCGATTTATATAATCCAAATTTAAATATTGGGTAACATAATTTTAAAATTATTTACGTTGGTGAAACTGAAGAACTTTATACGATTAAACGACTTGGGGACACAAGCTTGTTCTGTTGAAAACTTTTTATGCTTTAACGTGCATTTTTTGCATTTTTTTGTCAATTATGTGAATTTTTTATTATTTTATTTGTATTGCGCATTTTATTTATACGATTTTTTTTTTTTATTTGGAGCATTAAAACATTTTTTCTAATATAACTAAATTTTATTATAAAGAATTTTTATAAGTTTTGATTTCTTTATGCTTTTTTTATACAAAAGAACTTTAATAATATAATTAATATTATTGTTTGGGTTATATAATTTATCGCACGTGTATTGTTAGGTTCGGAAGATTGCGACTCAGTCGCTCCACAATCCAATATCTCGCGTAACGTACGATATGTAACCTTTTAGAAAGAGGGTGTTAGATTTGTCTGGTAGGTGATTAAGGCTTTCGGTTACTTGGATTCAACGATGGTCAGTAGGGTAAGTCACGTGAACAAGAACTAGAGCGAATAATGATGTTTAGAGGGTTTGTCAGGGTTTATACCGGGTATGGTGTTAGGGTTTTATTATGGACGGTACAATGTATTGGGACTGGTTATTTTATAAAGCAAACGAAGCATACTGCTCCTAAGGGCCATTTCGGCCTTTATTTATATTACTAAATTCGTCGCTTATAAATGCGACTTTGCACTTATTATTCCTTTAATGCTACTAAATGTTATTTACAATGATTTATGTAATATCTTTAAGGATGTGTAATTTGTCTTCACATCCTCCCTTCTGGATCCGAAATACCATTTCCGATCACAAATGTAGCTTATTGCATTTCGTGTAGTTTTCACGTGATCGGCATGATATCCGGTATCACAGTATATAATTTTACCGATTGAGAAATGACCTAGGTCAATTCAGAATCAACCTGAATTGTGAAATGACTCAGAACATATACAACAAGTGAGATTCCGATTCTTATGATAATTCGTATAATCAAGCCATCGAAATTTAAAGCTTTTTTTAGAAGAGCGAAAAGACGGCTCTTTTATATTACATCATTAAATCCTTTAGCCCTCCTAGCCTTAGCCCGACCAGACCTATACTTCCTATGCCTATCTTTAAAGTCCTTATCTCATGTCTAACCCTTACGCTTTATGAGAATAAACAAATAAAGGAATCTACGTATCTAAAAATAAAAATGACGAATAAAATAAATACTGTATTGGGACAGATCTATATTTCTAATATTTCTAAGCCTCTGCCACCACAATAGCCTCACAATATCCTTGTGGCTTCGATATTAATCACATGGTAGACACATTATGTTCACATAGTCAGATTATGGTCACGATTTAGTCAATTAAATCGTGAAAATATATTAGGGAATAGATGTTAGGGATATTATATGGTAAAATTGTTCAAGGAGCCCTTTTTATTAGGGCAGTAAAGATTGGTCCTTACTCAAATTTTTGAAAAATAAGCAGTTCTTGACAAAACGGACGTTTATTTTAATCTTTCTGATCGGTCATGTTATGATTTGTTGTTCAGGAGACTTCCCTAGTATTGCCATCAAAATTTCATCCTCCATGTGAACAACGAAAAATTCATTTAAGTTCATTTATGCTTGAGTTAGCGCCTAGATTGGGATTTGAATTTAGACAACTCTATAGTAAAATCGGTCATGAAAAAGTTTTTTTGAAAGGTGGCTTCTTATGTAATTCGTAAGTGATTTTTTACAAACTAAACGTTTTATTTAAATAAGCTTTTATTAGTCAATAATAATTGAGTCGGAATTTTTAAGGAAAGCCTACAACCACATACCAATCACGTAAAATTGCACGTACTCAAAGAAATCTTTGTCGATCATTGTGGCAAAGGTCCCTTATCCACAAATCAGATCTCCAGAATCAGGTTTAACGTAACATGATCAACAAATGTTCGTTTTGCAAAAAAAAAAATCGCATGTCTCTCAAAAAACAGTATAAAAAAACCACTTTGAGTGCTATAACAAAATTCTCCTTGAGCAATTTTACTATATAGTCACATTTATTCTAAACGCTAACCTTAAAGCTAATGTCAAAAATTTTACCACGTTACAGTGATCGTAGATTTCTTAGATTTCTTGAATGCGATGGTACGTGTACGTATCGTAGAATTTCCGAATTTTTAATAGTGAATTGTTAGATGATATTAGATTTTGCATTACACTTTATAACAACAAATATGCAGTATTTATTAGTATGTATGAATGAATGATTGAATTATAATTTGAATGGAATTTTTAAAATTATTGATCTATGGGCGAAGAATAAATGAATAAAATTTTTGACCTATGCTGAAGATTAATTGATTGATTGAAAAATGATATATACTTTAACATCACTTATATACATGTTGAAACTAAAATAAAAGTTAATTATTAATCCTCATTCTATAAGCTACTCGATAATACATTTTCATTTTTGATTAGTGTTATCTAGATTGTAAATTTTTTTTGAGCATAAACTCGTACTTGCGCATTAAAAGATCTTAATTCTATTATTTCATTTTTCATATCTTTGATCAAATTGTCATATTCATCACTAGAAACATTAATTAAACTCATAAGTTTTGGCTTCATTGTTTCGAGGAAAGTGGCATAATTTCCAGCCACCTAAATAATGTAAATAAGGTAAATAAAATAACAAGAAATATATATATATATAAAGAATAGGCAAATGGATAAACTGTATTAAACTTATACCATACCAATCTAAATAACTTTTCAGCATCTTCATCATCATAATGTTGTTTTATTTTATAATGAACATTATGAAGTTGTTTATTTTGTTTTAAATAGCTCTGTAATTTGTAACATATATGAGTATCTAAACCACGTTCATTAAACATCTTTATTACTAAAGATATATATAAAGTTAGACAATTATATAATAAAGTAACTTCTTGACCAATGAGAGAATAATAATATCCTTACTGCCATTAATAATTTTTGTCGTTGCAGGCCCCATGATATTATATTGAAAATCTAGTTCAAACAACTAAAAAAAAATACAAAATTAATTTCAATAATAATTTAATATAAATAAAAATTTTAATATAGCTAAAAAGAAAACCTCTATATAGCCGCCAGGTTTTAATACACGAACTAGTTCATTAATTACAGACGGCCATTCATTTCCAGGAATTCCGGCAAACAATAATCGTTGAAATACGAAATCGAAAGTATCATTATCAAATGGTAAACTTTCCAGTACGTTTGCTTCAATAAATTCAGCATTTTTAGGTTTAATATAGCCAGGTTGAATTGGAGAAATATCTACACCGGTAAATCTTGCTAGTGGATAATTGGTTGACATTTCGAGTAACCAAGAACCAGCACCTGTTCTAAATTAATCATAAGAGTTAAAATAGATTACAAAATAACAATAGCAATATCAATCACAATTTTAATCATAGTGATAATATTTTAACTATAATTATAATTAATAATTCTAATTAGTATAATCAATAATTACAAATAATATTATAATCAATAATTATAATTAATAACTACAATTAATAATTATAGTTAATAACTACAATTAATAATTACAATTAATAACTACAATTAATAACTACAATTTTACAATTAATAATTATAATCAATAATTGTACATGGGGTGTTAATACACGGGTATTAATTTATTTATTTATCAAATTCATGTAAGATAAAATTATAAAGTTAGAATAAGTTTAGCTTTAGGGTTCGAGAGGAGATAGCTTATACTAAAATGTTTGAAGGATATTTTTTGTTAGAACCCCAAAACCTGTTATACTATTAAGATTTTGAGATATCAATATATCCGTATTTTTAGTGTTCAGATAGAAATTGGCTAATTATAATTAATAATTATAGTTAATAATTATAATTAATAATTATAATTAATAATTATGATCAATGATTCTGGAATTATAACTGTAACTATAAAGAATAGTACTAAAGCACATTAGATGAAGGATGGACGTTGAGTAATATGATTCAGAACGTCAAGCACAATTACTTGGATTTTGCGTCAAGTACAGTTAATGTGTTTTAATAAACTAGATTGTAATTATAATTATATAATAATAATTGTTGTACCGTATTCCTCCAATAATAAGCGTTTTTCTATCATGGAAGAGCTTATTTGCGATTGGTTTAATTACAACTAATCTGACAGCTAATCTGATAAATTTTTTAGTTTTTATGAAAGGGAGCTTATTTTCAGGCGAGCTTATCTTCAGAGGAACACGATATTAAATTAAAACAACGTACCCTACATCGAGAACCCTTGTTCCTTCTTGCTTAAGAAGATCTTCAATTGGGGCAGAAAAGTTACCTCTCCAAATAAATTTATATGTAAAATGCATTACATGTAATCTATCACATTCATCATCATCATTCGGTAGAAAGTATTTTGAATTATCTACATTATGAAATCTTCTACCATCTTCAAAAGCAAATTTATCAATGGTACGCGAACTATTATTTGAAGACGCTAATTCATTAGCGTAATTGTGAGATTGATTCTTTCTGGATTTACTAATACGGTTTCCCATCTTAATATAAAACTTTATTGCTAATATCAATATTGTCGGTTTTTATTAGTTTCAGAATAGTTTGTCTCATGATATTGTAATCAAAAACAAATACTAAATTAGGAAACTTTTCGTTAACACATACATTGTAATTACGCAGATCTACGTGCATTATTAAATGACATTTTAAATGTCATTTAATCGTTATGCATATCATAAAATTCCGGATTCCAGTTAATTATTTTTATAACTGGAAATGCGCAATAAAGTTTTACAAATATCCTAAAATAGTTTGAAATTTTTCAGTAATTTCATCATAATTGATATTAGAAAATTATTATTACTATTATTATATAAAATTTTTATTACTACTATTATTATATAAGGGTGTGTTATACTAAGTAATAAGTAATAGGTATATATTAAAAAGTATAAATAACGCAAGGATAAATTTTAATTCGGAGATTTATTGTTGTTATGCTTGCTATTTAGATCCAATCAGCATCATGTCAACAAAGACAGGCAAATAAGATCGTGTGACACTGTTTCAACCTCTACCTTGGAATCCAATCAGCGTTATTAAAGCAAGACAGGCAGATAAAATCGTGTGACGCTCAACCTCTACCTTGGAATTCTCTTCAGAAGCATAGAGATTTGCCTAACGCTAATCGGTAAAATAGATCGTCATCACCACAACATGTTGATACGAAAGTTTTATTTTTATAATTACCTTTATTAATATGTATTATTATTTTATTGCACAGTGTAACGATTAAATGTAGTGTACAAAACCTATTACCGATTACTGATCTATTACAGATTACATATTATTGATGATAGTTTTCATAATAACTTACGTATGTATGTACAGATTAAATTATTTTAAACGGTTTCTAATGTAACAATTTTATTATGCTTTTTAAATCTTTCAGTATACTCTAAATCTACTCTTAAATGTATTTATAACAAAGTTACGATAAAATATACTCAAGAAAATGTATACAATTTCAAATCATTAGAGTTTAATACGGTGGACTATAAAAAAAATAGAGTATAAATATCTTTATTAATATATTTATATCAATGTTTCTTTAAACAGTTAGATAAAATAATCGTTCGTTACAAATATAGCATGTACCCTCAAATATGAGCTCAGATGTCCCGAATGTTTAGATTGTTAGATTTCTAGATTTTATAAATAAATCTTAATAATTTGATACAAAGTAAATAAATATGTACACACGGATGTACTTTCGATATTATGTTTACGATATAGAATTAATTTGGTAATTTGATATCAAAGGTCGTTTATCTCATTTTTCACAGGATGATTCTCAAGTTGAATCTGTTGGATGCAATGTTCGACCTTCATGTAAACATAATAATTTTGACTATTTCTCGACGAATAATTGACTAAATTCAATGAATATTCTATAAGTTTATAGAGTTAAAATAACAAATTTTCATCAAATTTGACAAGGTATTCGATAAAAACTCTTATAATGAAAATAAAATTTCTATATTTGGTTAGGTAATGCCAAGAAATCACCAACGCTAAAGTTTTAAAAATAAATTTTCCGGATTTTTTTCATTTGAAATTTTTAAATTCTAAATTAAAAAAATTTCTCTACTATGCCTGACAAATTTAAAAAAATTGTTTTTTTAAAAAATTCCGCACACGCATAGAATAAGTTCTTTTAAATTTTAATAAAGATTTCTCGATTGCAGCTTAATTAAATATAATAAAAAAGTTTTTATTTTGATTCTACGAATTTATGGAATTTAGTTAAATAATTAAAAAATCTTTGTCCAGAATTTTGAACATCTATGAAATGTTACAGTGATATTTCTCGGTAACTGCTAACTAAATTCAACAAATATGTTTACAGTCAAAAAAAAGAAATTTGATTAAAATTGAAAAAGATATTTTATTGAGGTTTTTTTTTTTCTTCTAATTTTAACGCTTTTGCTGAAATTTGTACAAAGTTTTCTCGATAAATACTTAACCAATTCAATAAAAAATTTTTTTATTTTAATTCTAAAAACTTATAGTTGTATAAAAAAATTTTGGTCTAATATTCGTCAATAAATATTCACTCAAAGTTTTTCTACTTCCTAGACGGCTGTCTCCGATGGTTTCTGATCCGGAATTATGTGTTTCATCCATACGAGCTGTTTACTGTATCTCTACCCGGAATGTAACATATTAGAACTCACAACATACCGATATGCAACATTCACAATTTTATGCAACGTTTGTGTTATTATTGACACCTATAAGATTTTGTTTATCTATATATATCCATATCTGCATGTATACTTTCAAGTACTGTATTCTTATTAGTGCATCTAATACGCCGTTATAATTAGCATTGGCGAATTCTAGATTCTGTAATGTTAAATATGTGGCAATATTTGTTCATAATAATAGCACACATGAAGAAAGTGCAGTACGGTATGACATTTATACGTATACATATTTTAATACGAACTAAAAAGATTGCACTACACCATTTGGATAATTTTGTTAACATTTGTATGTACGTTTACGTACGTACGAGAAAAAGTCCTTGCATGCATTATGTACATGTGTGCTGACAGAGCAGGGAAGTAGATTAGTTTATTTTTCAGATCTATGCTCATCATAATGAGCTCTGGATTAAACAAACTGCAAAACTTTATATATATTATGTTGATATAGAAAATACAACGAAAGGGTTAAAAAAGATTCAAAAAGAAAAAACCAAATAGTTTCAAAACTCAGAGAGTAGGGATGGATTCGGCCGGTTACGGTCATTATTATTATCAGTTAATCGTAGTAATGGGTCACGCGCGGGGTTTTTAATATGAGATTATTTGGCCTGCATTAGCATATTGTTAAGTTCAGAAAACTGCGACTCGATCGCTCCACAATTCAAAATCTCGTGTAATGTACGATAGGTAACTTTACAAAAGAGGGTGTTAGATTTTGCTGGTGGGTGATTAAGGCTTTGGGTCAACGAATACAAGGTAAGTCACGTGAACAAGAACTTGAACGAACGACGATGTTTATAGGGGTTTACAGGGTTTATATTGGGTATAGTGTTAGGGTTTTATTATGGACGATACAATGTACTTGGACTTTTTTATTAATAAAGCAAACGAGGCATGATCTGTTCTCGGGGCGATAATGCCCTTTATTTATAATTACTATTTAATTATAATTGATTTAATTATATAAACTCCACTTCTAAACTTTCTTTATTTAATTCGACCTCTCTAATTTATCCACCTAAACCCTTATAATGATTAAATCCCCCTTCGCTATTAAATCCCCTTTCCTTGATATATTTAATTAATCGATTAATTGCCGGGATATCCATATTGACACCTTCGAACTGGTGTCGGCGTTTTGGTCGCTTCTCAAACGGATACGTCGTGTAACCTACGAACGGCTTAGTCGATGAGAGGCGGTTAGATTTGGCGAGTGGTGTGTTTATGATCGTAGGTTTTGCAAGGTAGCGAAGGCCAGGGAATTATGAGGGTCAAACTTCATTACAAGCACGAACTCTGCCTACTTTCTTCGGAGGGCTCAAAGCCTTTATTATATACTTTCATTTACATATAACACGTTATACCCTTTATTCGTGATATGCCGCTTATACTACTTATAACGTTTATGCTAATTATACTGAGGATAATATTTATAACAATTATTTTAATTATACTCTTTGTCTCGCTAATCCCCATTATCCCACTGATATCAATTATCAATCCGATACTTAGTATACAGCGGATACAGTGTATACGCCGGTAAACACATTTAAGGTATATGATCTACATAGCCGAGAGAGCGTGACTTAGGGTCATACGGTGAAGATCCCACATCACTCGTGGATCACGTGTTTCGGGTCTAACAATATAAAGGAATTGATCGCCATACCCGCTCTCACGTGAGGCCTCGGCATCTTAATTTCATCACGTTATTGGGCCTTACAATATCATCTGGCCTGCATTAAGACCAGGGTAAAATCGCCATTCAACAACAAAAAATACAAAAAAGCTAGACTAACAAAATTATAATGATAAGTAATAAATTAAGAGAATGACTATTTCCACCCCCACTTTTGTTAATGCCATCCCCAGATGATCTAGCCGATCTCCGACCCTCTCCTAACCCTAAATGATATGTCAAACGAATATAAGTTGCGTAACTTTGTATACTTTTGAAATTTCGGTCTATAAAAATTTTGGTCATGCGACCTTAATGTAGTCGTCTGATTAGGGTTAGAAGAGGATTGGAAACTCATGAGGGGTGGCATTAGCAAAAGTAGAGGGTGGAAATAGCAACACTCTAAATTAATCATTTTATTTATTTCGAATAACTCAATAAACGTAATATTTATTACAGCCAGAAATTATTATTACAGTATTTGGAATATTTCATTGCCTTTTAAAATGGTTATAATTCTCTAATTTATGCAATAACAGTTTTTATTACTACTATTGAACCATTTGTTACTATTTGGGTTCATTATGTTTTCTTCAATAATTTTTTGTTGCTGCGTTCTAGATTCAAATAAATAATCAGTTATAGTCTTCTGGAAGAGCATTAAAAAATAACATCTACAAGGTTTTCTGCATTTTCTTGATTAGTTTTTGTAAATTTATTTCGATTTTCATTTTTTTTTTGTTTATTGTTAGTTTATTGTTAGTGGAAATTTGGTTACGGCAATTAACATATTGTGATGACGGTGACACCATCGAACCAGCATCGGCATTTTGGTTGCTTCTCAAACGGATACGTCGTGTAACCTACGAACGGCTTAGTCGATAAGAAGTGGTTAGATTTGGCGAGTGGTGTGTTTATGATCGTAGTTTTTAGGAATCTAGCGAAGGTAGGGAATCATTAGGGTCAAACTTCATTACAAGCATGAACTCCTGCTTCTCGTAGGGCTGGAAGCCTTTATTATATATTGGTTTATTACATGTGCAATCTTTAAGGTACTAAATGTATTAAACGTATTATATCCCTTATATCCCTTTAACGTCCTTTATCACTTAAAACCCTTAAATTTCGTATATCCCTTTTACTACCATTTTCTCTTAAAACTCTTATTGCTCCTATATCTCCTAACGGATCGAAAAGACTTATAGAACTGATAATCCCGGGAAGCCCATATTAGGTAAAAGATCGGCATACCCATTCTGTGCCACTTCGATTACCTCCTTTCAGGATTACAGTTCTACAGCTCACAACAGATATTGTGATACCGAATATTGTGACCGATCACGTGAAAAATGCATGAAATGCAATAAGTGCAATAAGTTACATTTAGGATTGGAAACGGTATTTCAGATCCAGAAAGGTAGATAAAAAATAAGGGGAGGATGTGAAGACAAATTACACATCCTTAAGGATATTAAATAAATCACTATAAATAGTTTTAATTAGTTTTAAGGAATAATAAGTGAAAAGTTACATTTGTAAGTGACAAATTTTATATTATAAATTAAGGTTGAAATAGCTCTTAAGAGTGGTACTCTTTGTTTGCTTTATTAAACAATAGATCCTAATACCCTACATTGCACTCAATAAACACTAATACTATTACTATTACAAACTCTGTGAACCCCTAATAACATCACTGTTCAATCCTTGATCATGTAACTTACCCTATTTGCATTTGTTGACCCAAAGTGACTAAAAGCCTTAACTGCTCACAAGCCAAATCTAATACCTTTGCCAAATCTAATACCTTTTTTCGAAAAGGTTACTTGTTGTACATTACATGAAGTTTTGAATTTTGGAGTAACTGAGGCGAAAATAGAATCTGTGCTCAGTTTATTATTATGTGATATAGATTGGGTAATATTTAATAAACTTGTATATATTTATGCATGTACATATATGCATGTAATTTTTAATATCAATATTATACAACAGAGTGAAACATGAATTGTGAAATAGTAAAATCTGCTATGATCATCACATAAGGAGGAAATCTACTTTTATATAATAAAAACTATAATAAAATGTGAATTTCACTCTAACCTGATCTACAAAGCAGATTTCACTATTTCACAACTTAGGTTTCACTCTGTCATAATATTACTGTAGATAATTTCTTATAACTGATACTATAAAACTAAGGATGTTATAGCATTAAGCATATTATTTGCTTTTCATTATATACTTGAAATTCTATTTAAACTAAAATTTATTAATTCACATAAACTGGTCAAATTAATTGTAAAAATTTTACATGAATCTCAAGTAATTTTTTTTTAAGAAAAAATCCAAAAAGCCTTTGATTTGCAGTAGATAAAATATACTAGATATCATAAGACCTTTAAAACCTATTTAATATAGAAGCAATTAATTAATTTGATCAATATAGTTAAATAAATTATTACCAAAATATGGTACAATTTATTTAATTACTATTAATAGATAGAATTAAATATATTGATCATATTTTAATATTTTTCATGATAATAAATTTTTTAACCAGTGATTATTATACTTAATATCTATTAGGCTGGGTTTCTTTCAAAGCCTGCTATAAATCATATAGATGTTTCATATATAATTTTTTAAATCAAGTAGTTATAATAAACTGATTTAATTCTTTCTTCTGTTCAATTTCATGCAAATAATTTTTCTTATTTTTTTTTGGTTACCCTTGTGGCATTTTTCTGAGCTCATGAGATGATTCTTTTTTATGTCTGATAGTTACAGCAACTTGCACATTAATTTTTTACCTGTATGCTAATAACTACTACTATTAACTTTACCTAAATTCTATTTACAGGTTTTAAGAAAAGAAACTACTGCTGGACAAACATGGGTGTCTTGTATTAAACAAAACTTCTTGTAGCTTTTGACAAATTTACATACACTTTTATTCAACATAGGTTTCTTTTTCTTAAAAAGATTTTCTAGATCCTGGCTAAACCAATGTAATTCATCTATTGCTAATTGATGGAGATAGAAATCATTTTCATTCTTGTTATTATAATTCTTGGTATCATTTTCACTATCACTTAAGGACACAAATTCAGAGGGTATATCTTTATTATTTAAAGCACTATAATCATTGTAACCTTTACTATTAACTAAATTATTGTCAACATTCATAATGAATATAGACACAGGCACAAACACAGATTCTACTATTGTGTGTACAAACTCTTAATTATATTGTGATTGATAAAGATCAGTGTAAAAGTTAATCTTTTTGCATTTTTTACCCAATGCCAAATAAGCATAGTGGTATCTACTACTTACTGACATTGTAAGTATTTGGTTCAAGCAACAGATATTATAGTAGAATACTATTAAATTTTGGTGTTTGCATGGTGCTCCCATCTGATTACATTCACAAACTCCAAGTCACATGTCAACAACATATCTGTATTCTTATTTTTCCTACTTCTATGCTTAATAACTATCGAATCTAAATTTACTATTTCAATATCTTCTTTTAATCCAACTTTTCAGCCTAAGAGTCAAAAATAAAGTACAATAAAACCATCTAATTTATTATGAGCCACTGCCAGTAATTTTCAAGTATAGTAAAGGTCTATTGTACTAATAACAAAATTAAAAATTTGTATTAAATTAAATACCTGTATACTCCTAAAGACAATGTCTTTAATGATCCTAATCCTGACCTTCACAAAATTATTCTTATTATTATTTCAAATTGGCAAGTGGTGACAAAATATAATAGTTCATTCTTTACATTTATTTCATGCTACTTCAAAATACTTTTGAAATTAAGAATATTTAAGGTATGTTTTACTAGTTATAAGTTATATACATTCTTTTTCTAGTATAAATTTAGTCTTAAAAAAAATGATCTTTTTTAAATGCTCAATAAGAGTAACATGATTAACAATATTGATATCATGTTTGCTGTTTCACAACCACCTCCATACCACTTGCAAAAAATGAAAAACACACAATAGCAAAGTTGTTTTTTTCCAAGTATAATGTAATGTATTTCTTTCTGCACTACAATCATCAGTCATAATAACTTATAATTCAATTGTAGGTCTATGCCTATCAAAAGCATCTGAAGGCAACATATTTTTTAGTGCACTTAAGGCTTTTGTGAAGGTTTGAGTGGTTTCATCTAAAGTAAGTATTACAACTAGAAGTAAGCCACTAACTGGTGTTCTGATTGAAATAATAGTTAATGCCATGTTAAGAACATTGAGACTTGCTATTATATCTATAAATATTAATTCTTTAGCTTGTTGTAAAGTGTGATAGTGCTTTATTAAATTAGTTAAAATAATAAGAATAAATGGTTGACTAGAATTGGTCTCTATTGGAGCAACATAAGACTGCATTCAGACACTTTCTTTTTTATTATAATTGAATTTTGTAACCTTTTTAGCCAAACAACTAAACATCTCTTTTTTATTCTTTGTACTAATAGATATATTGAGAAATTTTTTATGAAGGTAATAAACATTATATTTGTATGGGTAAATAGCTCTATCTGCCAGAATCTCCTCATCATTTTTATATTTCAATTGCATTTCTTCTAAATATGTGTAATATGCACTAGCAGAGTTATGCCCAACATGAAAAAGTTTATAGAATGCTTGTTTTGTCTTATTAGATACAGAATAAAAGCCTGTAACATGTCCTGATATAAGAAGATAATTATAATTGAACAACATAAATACTATGCATGGATAAGTATTGTACTTGTTTTGTAGTTGTAAACTAAGTGTTGCAATGCAATTAGTATTCCTTGTATATGTACTAATTTCTTTTTGATTATTCACAATTTCAGTATTTAAATCATGACTTTTTTTCTTTGTTTTAATTTTATCACATGACTATGAATGCAATGGTAATGTTTAGATAGAAGAAAGCATGCACCTTTAATTGTTTGTCCTTGAGTCTCTTGTATAGTTACTTTGTATAAGTTAGTAAACTCATCAAATCAAATCCTGGTGCTATCAATTGTACAAGTTTTTATATAAAATTTTAACTTGAATAGTTTTTCATATGCATCCAAAAAATTATAAGGCTGAGTTGCTTCAAATAAATTAATAATATAATTATAATTTTGAGGCAGAGCATTATTCAAAATAGTAAGATAGGTCTGTAAAATATTAAAGGTATATAATATATCAATATTGGGCATATCTGTTTTAGTTGTGTTTAATATTAAATTTAACTCCATTTTAGCAAGAAAATTTTATGCAAGTATTGTTGGTAAGAAGAACGATTAATAGCAACTGGTATTTTTTTTTCAAAAAAAAAAACAAAAAAATTTTATGACACAATTATTAGATAAAAATGTTATGTTTTGTAATTTTGTATGATTTTGAGTTTAAATTCAAATTCCACTGTATATAGTTATTTAATTGCTTATATGTATATAGTAGATAATTAATTTTTTATTGAAAGATGAAACCTATTAATGAATGTTGTGATTTTCAATGACCTTGAACATGTTTAATAGCTGATAGAAATAGAGTTACAAAATTCTCATAAAGGTAAGAATTTTGTCAATTTTACTGGTATTATTTAAAATCAAATTATAACTATTTTTTTCTTAATTTTTCTATATATTTGACTAAATTAAACTTCAAACCAATTACATCAATTACATAATTAATCATATATTTTATCTTTAACTCTAATAACTTATAATAAATTACATTATTAATTATCTTAGCTTTCTTATTATAACTAATTATTAGGATTCAACATATACAACTAAAAATAAGTATTATTTTACTTTTTTCTTTTGATTGGTCACTAATTTTTCTTTTCAATATTATAAATATTCTAATTATTTATATACATATCTTGTGTGACAATTTTTATATCAAGCTACTTTTACTAACAGATTCTATTTATGCCATTTAGTCTATGTCTTAATTACTTTAATTGTTCTATTTTATTATGTGACATATATTATATTAAAATTTAGTGCCTGGACCTCTTAAATTATTAATAATTATTATTAATTATTCAGTCGAGTTATTAACTAAAAAATTATTTAATAATATGTATGCAATAAACCAAGCAAAACTATCTAAAAAGATGTTATTTAATTTATACATTTGATGATATAAAAATATAATTATCAAAAATATCTAAGTATTGGAATAGTTTCATTGTTTATAAATAGATTTGTTATTAACTTCTAAATTTGAATTTTAAGTTTCATTATGATATTTTGTGATGACAGAGAAATTTTTAACAATGATTGAAATTAATAATATTATTAATAAATAATTATTAACAATACTATTATTCATAGTTTCATCATTATTTAGGCAGTAGAATAAATATCTAATTATCTAGAATTTGGGTCAGAATGATATTAATTAAGTTTGGCTATACTATTATTAATCTTAATATGATATATTTTTAGCTCTATTTATTAGCTAATATCTAGAGCTTTAGGCTTATAATTAAATAGTTTATAATTTATATTAAAAAAACTATCATTATAGTATTTATTCATCCTATTTTAGTGAATATAAATACTTATTTACTTTGTCTATAAAAAAATTTATATTAAAACTACTAAGATAATAGCTCTAAGATTATATATATAGTTTTAAAGGTTTTAAACAGCAGTGCTTATTTGGCCTAATGCTTGTATATACTGTATTGTTAAATAGAATTTGGAGTTTTATATTTAAGCTTGATTCATTTATAATATTATCACAAAAATACTAAGAATTTTATTTTATTTTATTTTATGAGATAATAAGTTTAATAACAGATTAGTATGCTATTATATAAAATTACAAAGTATTTAGTAAGATCTTTTGTTCCTACTAATACCACCAAATTAGTTATTATTGCTAATATTGTAATACTTTTATTTATTGAATAGACTAACTCAGTAATTTATATATAATACAGATTATTATTACATGCATGTATATGCATAAATATGCACAGGTTTATTGAATATTACCCGATCTGCATCACATGATTAGAGGTCTGCATTGGGTCTCACAGCTCAGCCTAGCCAGACCTAAAGCCAAATTTTATAATTGTAGACTGAGCTATGCAAAAAATTTGCAAAACTTTATAATTGTAGGCCAGTGCAGGTCTAAAAATTTGTAAAATTATATAAAAAATTTTTGCAAACTGGGCTGAGCTAAAGAAAAAATTTAACATATGTAGGCTGGGCCGGGCTAGCAAAAAAATGATAATTATAAATACAGGCCAAGCTGGGCCTAAAAAAAATTTTTAACTCTAATTGTGAGCCAGGCTGGGTTTTAAAAATAGACAATTTGCAGGCCCCTATATATAATTATAAACTGGGCACAGATTCTATCTTTATATAACTAAGTTACAATCTTTTAAACCCAACAATATATTTTTAAAATAATGTGTTTATTAGATTTTATGCTTTTAATAATTGTTTTTCAGTTTAAAGAATCAAAGAAAAAAAATCACTTACTAAATCATATTTTAATATATATAAGATAACTGCATATTGTATAATGCTATACTGAACTAGTAATATACTACATACAGTACTATACGTACTGTTCATATATACTGTAAGTACTGTACATGAGAATTTTGTTAATCATTTTATATGTAGTCTGTTTTATATGCTAATTAGCCAATTAAAATTAATAAAAATTAAGAAAATTTCTATTCTGATCTAGGTAAAAGTGACCCATAATGTGGCTTTGTTTATGTTAGAGGATTTTATGAAGTTCATATGACCTACATACTTCAAATTAGCCAATAGAATCACATATATAATTACCTGCAATTTAATTGCCCACTTCGAAGTAAGGAGGTCATGTGACTTTATTGAAATAATCACTTCATTAAATATACTATATCAGTCATATGATTTGTCATATATAAAATTTTTAATAGTAGGTCAAATAATTGACACATTCAAATTTTATAAGTAAAATTTGTACAAAATTTGCTTTCTAGAATTATTTAACCAAAAAGAAGCTGTTAGTTTAATTTTCAGGTATAAGTTTGTAAATTCTCTAACATTATAAGGTTCTTTTTATGAAATTTCAAGGGTGTTTAAAAATAAATCTTTAAGTAATCTAGTCTACAAATTTGGTCAATTTTTTTATGATTTTTACTATTTGTTTATAAGTGATGCAGGTGAAGTGCATCAATTATTCCAAAATAAGTAATATGAAAATGTCGATTAAAAAAATTTAGTAGACATTTTCATATTACTTATTTTGAAATAATTAATGTACATCACCTGTATCACTTATAAACAAATATTAAAAATTATAAAAAAATTTGCCAACTTCATGAACTAGATTATTTAATAACTTATTTTTAACCATTTTGAAATTTCTCAGAAGAATCTTATAATATTAAAGAATTTATGATCTTATACTCAGAAATTAAACTGACAGCTTCTTTTTAGTTAAATAATCCCAGAAAGCATATTTTGTACAAATTTTACTTATAAAATTTGGATGTATTAATTATTTGACCTTATATTAAAAAATTTATCTCATGCTTTGTATGCCAAATTGTGTGACTGATACTATATATACTATAAATACATACTGTATATACTATATGTACTGTATATAAAAAAAATTGGGTTATCATATAAATGGCACATCACTATCCTGAACCAGTATAATCACACATGTGTAGTGTATATTTTAATTCAGATGCATAGATTTTATTAGTTGTTAAATGTTTTATTTAATTTTAAATGTTATACTTCATGAAATTGTAATGTATGATTTGTTGGTATATGTGATGTAGGGATAGTTTATTTATATACATAATCTATAAAAATTAAAATTTATTAATATATAAAAAGGAGGTGTGGTGACCTAGTGAAGTGGTCAGGTTGTCAACCTCCAAGTGGCAGGTTCAGAGTTCAAATCCTAATGTCAATGAAAAATTTGAAAATCCTTTTTGTGTTACAATTAACTGTCTCTTGCAATTGGTTGGGATAAGACACCTGTAATCTATATTGCACCAGCATGACTGGCAGGTCACATGTCATTTGTGTAACAGTAACATGACATTGTCCTTTGAGATAAGGTCTGTAGTTACATGAAGGAATGCAAACTGGTACCAGGTGGTGCAAATCTACAATAAGTTCTCATGGCTATGTAAATTATAGGAACCAATAAAAGAAAGATAGAAGCCCACTTGGAAGACCGAAGTAAAGAGGTAACCTGAGTTTTCGATGGTGCTACTGTAAAGACTAGACTTATAAAACGGAGCAAGAACTTGTGAAACTAGGCAAACATGCCAGTTCTTGGGAAGGGACTAGATAAACCAACCAGGCTGCCAGAATTTCTGGGTTCCAGAAGAAAAGGGTACATGCTGGCAAACATGTAAACCAGAGATATATGATTTCGACCTACCTTTCTTGACTATCTGGAATGGCAGCTTGGTGGAACTTAAATTGAATACCAAAGTAGTAAGGATATGTTGTGAAGTAAGTACCAAGGTTGGGGTAAACTCTACAAGAACATAGCAGTTTAATAGTATGCCCTAACCACCAGTGTTGGTTTTGGCTATAGCGATACTGGGTCAGCTATAAGAATAGGATACAAAAGATTCTAGAAGGTTTAGTACATGGTCAAAGGTTCTAAAGAACTGCTTTAAAGACTTAGTGGCCATGGCATATTTTCACTGGTATTGACTGGGGTTGTTGGTAGGCAGAGGTAGATGAATG